AGCCTGGAAGGAGGAGGAGGAAGAAGAAGAGAAAGATGCCGAACAGACAAGCCGTTTCTGGAAGAATTTAGGCGTAGGGGCACCTGGTACTAGAAATGAAAATAGGCAAGTTCGTACCAAAATCTAATGCAGTTTCAGGCGGCAGCGCTATCGACATGTTTTGTGTAATCGCATGTGGATCATAATTTAATGTGGATCATAATTTAATTCAAAAACGCTTGGAAGTACTAGTATTCACACAATGTCATGTGGAAGTATCAACAAATGTAAACAAAGCAGTGTTATTGCGATGAAGTCAAGTATGAAACTCTTACTGAGGCAGATATTTGTCGTGTACATGTCAGATTTATACACCATACACTTATAGGCCACATCTTATCTACTACTAGTATACGCCATATATACGCCTATTGGCAGAGCCGTACGTATCATGATGCTTACCTATTATCGCCAATAAAGTACTTTGAAGTCTTTGACATAGAATGAAACGTCATTGTTATTATTACTTACTCGGCAAAATGGTCGATACCCACAACGGAAAAATTCCAATATAAATGTAGGGATCAGTACGCTTTCACATGCGACTATTATCAGATGACTACTGTGAAGCGAAAGTAACGTACAATTCTACAGAGTTCGCTGGAATAACACTGTGAAAATAACAATGATACTAGTAGCGTAAATCGTGTGTAATCCGATCTAATTGTTGTGAAACGTAAAACATGGAGAATTTGATATCTCCTGATAAACTGACTTCACTGAAAGGGTTACTCACAGATTACGCAAAATTCGTTAATTTAAGAAGATTATATAAGAAGCATATCAACTGTGACGACAATAATGTGCGGGTGTAGGTAAGTTACATACATGGTATGGTCAGTACCCCCGGGCATTCAGAGTCCTCAGTAAGCACAGTTAACTTGAAAAACTACTTCATTAGTTCTACTCCTGCGCGAAGCCAGGTGACACGTCGTCAGCTGAACTCTTGTTGCGGCTTGTATACATATCAGATCGTACAACACAAACAGTCATAATGAAGTTTCAGACATTTGTTCTGGCTCTGGGAGTTTTGCAATGTGTTCACTGCGTCCCTGTTCCACAGACGGCGGAGGAAAACGAACAGGAACGTGAGTAAATATCTTGTGTAACTGTCACGTACGAGGTTTTGTATTCTGGGATAAATACATCATCGTTCGACATGACTCATTGCCATGTGAATGACATGACAATGAGCTGGTTGTCTAGAGAAATTCTTTACCTACGTATACAAAAGTTTTGGTAAACCTGATGTTAGATTTTTTCAAACTTACTCAGATTTTGTCCGTTCTTATCATGGCGGATATAGACCCGAGTTATTTGGCCTTAAACCTTATTTGACCTGTCGTGGCAATTTACCATTGTCTTATTGTTGCGTCAATTCTGTCAGTGTATTTTTTTCTATGGACCACACGTCGTTTGCATTTCTCAATGAAGTACTTTAACGTTATCAATACGACTCGTAACTAGAAATGCCACATTTGAGAGCAACTACGGCACATTTCACTCCATCCAACTTCCTCAAACGTGTTAAGCCCTGTGGGCGTATGTCCTAGGCACCACGATACCGAATTTCAGGTCATTTGGTTTGAATACCAGGGCAAAGTGAGAGGGAAGAAACACAATGGAGCTAAACATAAAAACAATATACTCTATATGTATGGTATGGAGTGAATAATACCTGTGGTATGGAATGGAATGAAATATAAAATTGATAACATGTATGGAGTGAAATGGGGTGAAATGTAACAAGTCCAAGACGTTCTATCAATTGGTAATCATGAGCACAATATTCAGTTTGCAGACTTCAGCAGTGATATGGTGGACTGTAGTTATGGTAACTCGCATGGTTGCAGAACGGTTTTCCTGTTCGAGGTTATTCACTCCAAAGAATTAAATTTCTGAAAAGTTAGAAACATTGGTAAAACAAAATTTACAAATAACCTGGTAATGCAAACATTTAAATCATTAGTTTAGTATTCCGTCCCAGCAATGCACCACCCAAAGTCAACAGAATCTTCAATTGGTTGAAGGCGGTTGCCCAAATGAAAGAAGAATGCTATATGGAACAGAGAATAGTGTCGATAACAGATATGGATACAGTTCACTACAAGCAGTCTATAATGTGAACCATGGGTTGCATCTTGATGTACACGTATTACGCATGTTGAGCAACAGCAGCACTAGTTACCTCCATGAAAAATGGAGGTATTGTTTTCGGCGTGTCTGTCTGTATGTATGTCTGTGTGTGTGTGCGTCTGTCTGTCTGTGTCTGTGTCTGTGTGTGTTTCCGCAACTTTGTAGTCAGCATAACTTCAGAACGCCTTTATGGATTGTGATGATATTTGGTATGATGGTAAGTCTTGGAAAGACAAAGGTCAAGGTCAAGTATGGGCCTCCTGGTGGATGACCTTGGTACTGCAGCAGAACTTCCGGTTTTTGTATCTTTTGTCCTGAACATGCTATGGTCTTGACTTTTTCGTGACAGATAGCTAATACTGTCAGGAATAAGTGGCGTAAGTTTGGTCCCCCTAGCAGCTTGTTCTGGAACTGCAGGTTAGTTTCTGGTAAAAACTTTCAAAGCCAATGAGTCCACATTGGAACAACATATTTTCATCATTTTTGGTGTGTAGGTACCTGAGAGACAGTTGTACATGATTAAATGCAAATTATGCAAATGAGGAATTAATTTGCATAATTAATGAGGAAGTTCTATAATTACAGTGTTTCATATAATGGTACTGCTATACATGTAATCTATTTAATCTGTGGCAGGCGGAACATCAACAGATACCTATTATGCAAATGATGACCTAATTTGCATAATCAATGTGAAAATTCTGTGACTCCTTATTGGTGAATGATGGGAATTTCATACCTCGTAACATGTGTAAGTTACTTAAAGGTTTGCGTCGCTATGCATATATTATGTTAATGTAGAGGTTGTTTGCATAATTAATGAGGACAAAGCAAGCCCATATTTCATGGAGGTATGAGATCTCGGAACTCTTGTTTTGTCTATGCACTGTACTGTTTTATATTTCCCTGCAGTGATGCACACATTAAAGGAAGACTACAATCTCAGTGATGAGGAGGAGGAGGCTTTCCAAGGACTCATCGACGACGAGGAGGGGAAGACGGACCACGAAAATGACAGTAGGTTTAATTTCTTCATTTCAGAAAATCTCTGACAAATCATATCATGATGTAACGGAACTTCCCCAATCCCATATAACACCACCACGTCATATTATCTATGGAAGTGATATAATTCACATGATAAAGTCCAGGGTTGTTCAGCCCTCATAATATAAAACCTGCTTGTCCGATCCTACAGTGGATGAATCGAACTACTCGTCTCCGTCATGATGTTTTGGTGAGGAGATATGCTAGTATTATTCATGTAACTCGTATTAAGTGCATGGCTTAAGGGTGTTGTCACTCGGTAATCATTGACAAAAAAAGCTAGACATGGTCCACCTAAATTATCATTAATTTGTTGATGGCAACCGTTTTTTTATTCATTTCCACAGACGTTCCGTTCCGTATGCAGGTGATGCAAGTTTTAGAGAAATTCAAGGTACTCAGCGATGAGGAGCTTGAGCGAGGTGAATACTCTTTTCTTTCACAATCCTAAACGTATTTACATGCCCAACGCGCGTGCTGTTTGTATGAGTAATTTTCACTTAGCGAAGTTTGTGATAGTTCCAACAACTTCATTGTTTTTTTTTATACCTACCAGTTGTAAATCGTTTAGTAACAAGACGAAACAGCATGAGAGTTATCATTCCCACATCTGTTTAAATCTCCATTTGAATAGAATATTGAAAGTGGCCATTTATCATGTAAAATATTCATAAGTAATGTCTTTGTATCAAATATTACACCATGACTGTTTTCGCCGTTACAGTAAGAATGATATTTGTCAGAAGAATGGGTGAGGAGGCAACCAACCAGATCTTTGCTGAAGCATATCGAATCTACAAAGATGAAAAACTAGGTAGAATCTATTTATTGTTCTTATAGCTTGTAACGTTCTGTGTCATCTTAAACCCGTAAAAGAAATGGTCTCAGATGTTACATCAGCATTCGGAGAGAATTAAACTCAGTCTTTTCAATTCCTCGTAACTTAGAAATCGTAGTAGAATGCTTACTATCAGTAAAGGTAGTACATCTACACGAGGCTATCAATTTAAGTCTCAAAAGCATGCATGATCGGAGGTACATAAAGAAGTATATAGCAATGGTTACCACATACACCAAAGTGAAGTAAACTCGCACTCATCCTACACAGTATCAAATTTTCAATCTTTGAGAGACGCGTTTGACAGATCTAATATTTATCAGCCTTTTGTACGTACACAAGGAAGAAGAGCCATCAGCTCTGGATTTACATAATTGAAAAATCCCTGTCGATGAACAGAAATGGATGAATACGGTTATTGAATCATATAGCCTATGAGGTGCAGGTAACTAAACACTAAATTTTATTCGTTCATCTAGAACTCGAGGACCTGGAATCAAACTTATGGGTAGACAAGGCGGAGGCGGAAGCGTTTCAAACGGTGGTTAAAGACGTAGAGACCGGAGCGAACCCAATGGAAGAAGGTGACAGAAACGTACTAGCCGCCAAATCGCCAAATTCTTGTGGGTTGCGATTAAAACCTCGAAGCCTCAGACCGATATATTTACATGTAACTCATGTAATTAATGTTTACGTGACTGGAGGCACATCAATACCCGACAACTTCCAGGTTTAACAATCCAAAATGGCGGACAATAATGACGCCATAGTCACGTCAGTGCAAACACCCTGTAGTGTTCTTATACTGACATTAGCTGGTCGCTGGACTTCAGAATCGCTTGTTAGACTAGTCAGCAGTCGCATTGATATTCAAGTAACCCTTTCAAAACAGAGCGATGTATAAAATAAGGTGTTCCATTACGCGTAACACACCCATGAATAATTCTACATGTATGTATAACGTACCATTGAGTCTGCACAAAATAAGTGAATACAGGAAAGTAATCAATTTATACAGACTGAAATGTATGAAATACTAGATATTAGATTGATTGGTTGATTGATTGATGGATGGATGGATTGATGGATTGATTGTAAGTATCAAGTATTAATCTTCTTCCGTCTAACTTTTTGGCACCAGATTTGTATTGGTCATGCTGTGGCTTGATATGTTTTCTTCACTTTCAGATGACAAATCCCAGTATGGAATAGAAGAGCTTGCTGAGGATGTTTTCTCGTTGCCGCCAGATCTACAGCAACGATGTCAGTAATACTTTCTACTATTATTTACTATCTGTAAATCAGAAATATTTATCGACAACTTGAGAAGCATGTTGTCTATATTATCAATCTATAGCATTTTTTCTTTCAGAAATTGATTATGACTAATTGTAAATATTTGCAATATATATAAAATGAAATGTCTGACCTCTCTTCCCTCTACAGTTCGAGCCCTCCTCATCGATAGTTTCGGTGAAGATGAAGCCAGGGTCTTGTTAGACGCGATACACGAAATCCGCAATAATGTAAACAGCAAAATTGGTAAGCTCAATCTTTCCAAGATCCACCCAGGTTTGAGTAGTGATGCAAGTTAGATCCAAAAGAAATGCCATCTGACAGGAATATTGTTGGCATTTAGCGTAGTGTGAAAGTTGTTCCGAAATCTAAACATTCTGACAAACAGGTACAAGAGGTTCAGTTAACATAACCTTTGAACTTGTACATGTTTAACCCTTTACAAACATGGTTATGTGGAAAGGGCATGTGAGATACAGTATGACGAGATCTAGAACTTTGTTTTCTCTCCAACTTTGTAAAGGTAACAATCAGGTAGACAGACATGGCATACATGTAGGCATGAGTGAATAAAAAAGTAAGGGGGATTATGGGATTTCAACTTGGTTTGAATTGATATCATACATGTATTATAATAATGGTAATGAGCCGCTTTCCCCTCGGTGTTTATGGTGGTATAATGCATGGTCATTGAATGGTGAATAATATGTGTCCATCAACATGGCATCTATATTGTATCAGAAAATGAATGGCAAGACAAGAACTTAACCGATCTGGATTCGTGGGAGGAAGATGAAGAGGAGTCAAAAACGTTCTGGGGGAAGCTTGGAGTAAATGTTCCAGGATACTTCCTGGCAGGTAAAAATAAGTCATTTTTGGCGTTCTTTTTTTCTAGATTATGTCTTAATATTCAACCTAAGCAGAGAAAGCTGATGATCGGAAGTACTTAAAATTGCATGACTTGCATATCTTTTGCATTCAGGTTAAAGAAATACTAGTAAGCTAAGGTCAAGTATGTTTGTAGTAACCCACGCATAATAATTGAGTGGTCGTAGAATGAATTGAGTAGGCTAGTGTTGCTAGCATATTCTTTTCAGGGTGTTGATTCACTTAAAGTTCACACGGGAACAAGATTGTTCATACGAATTTAAAAGTTAAGCTGTTGTATTGTCGAGAAGATTTCCCTGATTAGTAAAACGCAGGCACCCGATCATGCAATGTAAGTTATGTATATTTTGACACATGTTTATGACTGAGTGAATAATACAACTCAAAACAAAGACAGACGTGGATCACGCCGTGTGTTTTGCTGTACAGGTGACGAATGGACTATTGAAGAGGAGGAAGCTGCAGATGATGCAGAAGAAAAGGAATACGAGTCGACGAAACATTTGTTCAACAAGCTAGGCGTCGAAGTAACCGAGGAGGACTATTTTGAGGGTAAATCTTATGCAAAGCCTTACGTCTGAATTTAAGGAATACAGAGTAACACGACGTTTATATCAAATACTCGTACATGGTATCATAGTAGCAATGTATAGCTGCTTTCGTTGGGAAGAAGTATCTTTAGGACTTTGTGCTTCAATAAGAATTGTTGAAATGTATCTATTTCAAATAGATGATGATGAAGACGACGATTGGGCGATAGGCGAAGAGTCCACAGACATATGGGGTGGAGGAGCAGAGCAACCGGCCGCTGAAGTTGAGACAGGAGAGGAACAGCCAGCTGTTGGTGAGACAGGAGCAGGTGAACAGCCCGCTGTTGGTGAGACAGGAGAGGAACTGCCCGCTGATGGTGAGACAGGAGCAGAGGCAACAGCCCGCTGTTGGTGAGACAGGAGAGGAACTGCCCGCTGATGGTGAGACAGGAGAGCAACAGCCAGCTGTTGGTGAGACGGGAGCAGGTGAACAGCCAGCTGTTGGTGAGACAGGAGCAGGTGAACAGCCCGCTGTTGGTGAGACAGGAGCAGGTGAACAGCCCGCTGTTGGTGAGACAGGAGAGGAACTGCCCGCTGATGGTGAGACAGGAGCAGAGGCACAGGCCGCTGTTGGTGAGACAGGATGGGAGGAGCAGGCCGCTGATGCTGAGACAGGAGCAGAGGCACAGGCCGCTGATGCTGGGACAGGAGAAGACCTAACTGCTGATGGTGCGACAGGAGATGAACAGGCCGTTGTTGGTGAGACAGGAGAGGAACTGCCCGCTGATGGTGAGACAGGAGCAGAGGCACAGGCCACTGTTGGTGAGACAGGAGAGGAACAGGCCGCTGTTAGCGAGACAGGAGGGGAGGAGCAGGTCGCTGATGGTGAGACAGGAGGAGAGGAGCAGGCCGCTGATGGTGAGACAGGAGAAGACCTAGCTGCTGATGGTGCGACAGCAGAGGCACAGGCCGCTGATGCTGAGACAGGAGAGGAACAGGCCGCTGATGGTGGAATAGGAGAGGAGGAACAGGCCGCTGATGGTGGGATAGGAGGAGAAGAACTAACCGCAGATGATGGGACAGGAGAGGCACAGCTCGCTGATGGTGGAATAGGAGAGGAGGCACAGGCCGCTGATGGTGGGATAGGAGGAGAAGAACTAACCGCAGATGATGGGACAGGAGAGGCACAGCTCGCTGAAGGTGTCTTGGGAGGAGGGGATCAGGCCAGTGATGGTGTGATGGGAAAAGAAGAACTAACCGCTGATGGTGAGACAGAATTGGCCACCGATGGCGAGACAGGAGGAGTAGAACAAGACGCTGATGGTTTGATAGGAGGAGAAGAGCAAAACGTTGTTGATGAGACAAGAGAGGAACAGGCCGCTGACGGTGAGACAAGAGCAGAACAGGCCGCTGATGGTGTGATAGGAGGAGAAGAACTAACTGCTGATGGTGAGACAGGAGAGGAACAGGCGGCTGATGGTGGGGCAGGAGCAGGGGAACTGGCCGCTTATGGTGGGATAGGAGCTACAGGAGAAGCACTAACTACTGCTAGTGAGACAGGGGAGGAACTGGAGGCTGATGGTGAGATACTCGGAGCAGAGGCACAGGCCGCTGTTGGTGAGACATCCGGAGCAGAGGAACAGGCCGCTGTTGGTGAGACACTCGGAGCAGAGCAACAGGCCGCTGTTGGTGAGACACTCGGAGCAGAGGCACAGGCCGCTGTTGGTGAGACACTCGGAGCAGAGGCACAGGCCGCTGTTGGTGAGACACTCGGAGCAGAGGAACAGGCCGCTGTTGGTGAGACACCCGGAGCAGAGGCACAGGCCGCTGTTGGTGAGACACTCGGAGCAGAGCAACAGGCCGCTGTTGGTGAGACACTCGGAGCAGAGGAACAGGCCGCTGTTGGTGAGACACTCGGAGCAGAGCAACAGGCCGCTGTTGGTGAGACACTCGGAGCAGAGGAACAGGCTGCAGATGGTGAGACACTCGGAGCAGAGGAACAGGCCGCTGTTGGTGAGACACTCGGAGCAGAGGAACAAGCCGCTGTTGGTGAGACACCCGGAGCAGAGGAACAGGCCGCTGATGGTGAGACACTCGGAGTAGAGGAACAGGCCGCTGTTGGTGAGACACTCGGAGCAGAGCAACAGGCCGCTGTTGGTGAGACACTCGGAGTAGAGGAACAGGCCGCTGTTGGTGAGACACTCGGAGCAGAGGAACAGGCCGCTGTTGGTGAGACACTCGGAGCAGAGGAACAGGCTGCAGATGGTGAGACACTCGGAGCAGAGGAACAGGCCGCTGTTGGTGAGACACTCGGAGCAGAGCAACAGGCCGCTTTTGGTGAGACAGGAGCAGAGGAACAGGCCGCTGTTGGTGAGACAGGAGAAGGTCAACTGGCCGCTTATGGTGGGGCAGAAGAAGAGGACTAGGCCACTGATGGTCCGTAGAACTCTAGATATGATTGCTGTGCCACTTGTACAAACATGTCCTGCCTATTGTGACCTAGTAGAATTTTATCGAAATGTTTTCCGGGCAAAATGAATAGTTTCTTGAATCCACCGGGAGCAGTTCTAAACTTTCCCTGTATTTTCATTAAGAACTTGAACCATCGGGAAAGAGACTATAAGATAGGACCTGCTCTACACAGCTACAAGTCTAATAACGATCGCTAGATGGCGACATTGTACCAAGGAGGTCTAAAACCGATACTTGTGACGCCAACTTGCGCCATTGCACTCACAATGAGATGCTGATGCACGTTTTATGCTTTACAGGAAAGGGTGAATGTGGCCTTGATATCAATTTACATATAGTAGAGTTACGCAATCGACTTCGACATCTTTGACTTCGAAATTCTACAATGCCGATATTTGTGAAGTAAAATGTGTCACATTAATGAAATGGAAGTACTATCTCGAATAAAAATAGGAAACTACTGACACCTGTTTTAGCCAATGGTGATGAAAGATTTGGAAACGATACAGTGAACTCTAGTTTTAATACATATTTGCAGATTTTGTTTATACACGCCTGTTCTTGGAAGCGGGGGCTATCACTGACTCTCCAAAATTACATCACGACAATTTTACCAGTTACATGTAAAAACAACGTAGCCTGAGAGTCACTCCCTAAACTTGTGTAAATGGCCTGTCCAAAAAGACGAAGGTTGCAGACAGACAGTAGAAATGTCGCTGTGCTTGTAATGTTACAAAGGCTTAGCTCTTGAGTACATTTGCAACTCCAAAGTTACCTGGCGTCCTCCTGGTAGTAACCAACCAGCAATGCGGCCAATACTTGAGTCATAGATACGTGAGTGGAAACATTTTGTGAGCACCCCATAAGATAGAACATTTTTGTCTTGTTCATGTACCGTAACTTCGACGGTTAATACCGAGGTTAGGTTGGGATTAGTCTATATCAAAACGATGCCCGAAAGCTTGGTCACCTGGTTGTGTATAACCGCTAGGGGGCGCACATATGCAGGTTTCAAGGCATCTCGTGTCCAACATGCGTCCGTCCATTCCAGCATGGGTAGTGATATGAAATCACAGGATTTATCGTGGTTCCGGTAAAGTGGTCGTGGATTCGTTTCTCAATGAGAATGCCACACTGAATTACTCACAACACGTTTGTCGGAGGTTTATCTCCTTGTTACTTGGAAAGAATGGAAAAGTAGCAGGGTCACGGAATAACTGTTACGTCAGCAGAAATCAGCTGCCGTTTCTCTCCCTGAAATGCAAATTGTGGTTCTCTTCATTTCGAACTTTAGAAAACAGTATATTTCAGGAATAGCGAGATGTTCCGGATGCAAGACAAATTGAGGTATGATTTTTTTAAAGAAATGAATCACCAGTAAGAAAATCCAACATTCTAACTTGCTGCTCTGTTTGTCCCCTCTCTCACCCCGCGATGACTGACAAGTGTTCGTCGCTCTGACATCCATGGAAGAGACCAGGGAATCCAATATGGCTGCCATCTGGGAGTTGACGTGAATTGTCCCAGTCATCCGAGACCCAGGGTCAACGAGAAACAGCAGTAAATCATTACCAACCATCCCGTCCAAAATAACTCACGCGAAACCAGTCGCCAGACATAGGTAGACTGTTTCCCAGGGCTGCACTGAAGCTACGACTGATCGGCAAATAGACAAGATTTTTCGATATTGTCTGTGCATAAAGTTCACTCATGAAAAAGGGTCTGCATTTCCAATGATGCAAAAGACACGATAAGATCATCTAACCTCGAGGAGTTTTTCTAAACATTTTGGACCTATCAGTCATCAGCAGGAGATGATGTGGGATAATAATATCAAGTATTCCTTTGTCACGTACTGTGCAGCCCATGCCGTATCACGCACGACTATTTATCATAATCATAAGTAGTTTATGGAGGCTATGACTGTTACCGTGGATAAAAACATCACCAAAAACTAAATTTTATTGTCATCAGAGAAGGGTTTACGTAGCTGATGTCTGGAAGCTTCGGCCTTTGCCGCTATCATGACTGACGTATCACCTAACTGATGAGATTTTAAAGAGGTATACCAAAATTTGCAAAAAACTAACTAGTCTTTATCTCAAAATAAACCATCAAGATTATGACAGAATCAAAGATACCATATTAAATATAACGAAAAAATGCTCTTTAAAAGACTTGTGAAACGTCCAGCTGCGAGTTGAAATACATAGCTTTCAACCATGGTGTTCTGGATTGAAAGATTTTTCGAAACGTTGCAGCAGTTACGTAATTGCAATTTCTGCAAACATCAATTGCTTACATGTCAATGCTTTTTATGACCTTCAAACAGTCGTATCAAAAAACTGTAAGAAATGTGGGCCCCGGCCGTAGTTGTGAAGCCCCGCCTGCCATAATCTGTAATCAAATGCGATGGAAAGCGTATAAGGTCAAACATTGGGGCAGTCTGATAGTGCCTGCCGCTGAGTGACAGAGAACACTTGTCTTGTCATCTGCGGCAAATGCTTCCAATCATTACCAATCCTTCATGGGACTTGTAGTATACTTTCTGACTAAGTCACAAATTGGCAAATGTTGTTTGTTAGTGTCATGGAAATGAAAGATGGCACTACGTTCTATCTACATAATGCTTTATCCACTGGTAAATTAATTTATCAGTAACAGAAGAACAAATAATACTGAGCTATAGTTCTGGCGTTCTTTCTCTCTTACTCCTAAATTCGAATGACACACGAACATCGCAATTCTCGACTAGACTTCTAATGACGTATCCAGGTCCACCAATTCTACTGTGGCGAAATGCTTTCACCCAATACAAATCGTTGGTACCGTCAGTGTGGAACAATTACTGTTAAATTTTCAGCATCTCTCCTTTTGGTTCCCATTGTTGTGCAAAGTTTAGCAACGCGTGTCATTACATGCACTTAACAGCAGCCTTACACCGACTGCTTTCTCCACTTCATTAGAACATCATTAATCATCCCGTGTGTGGGTCATGGCTCACGTGGCTTCCGCATGCATGGCGACACAAGGTACTAGGTAGGCCGCCACGAGGAAAGGCTTGCTGCAAGCCTGGTAGAAGCCACTCATACACAACAGTACATTATTTGTTGGGTATCTTTTTAAGTTAGGGGGAAATATTTCAAATTTCGGTGACAGCCATTTAGTCCACAGCCTTACGCCCGGGATCCTGTATTTCTCTACAGAACTTTGACAAGTAGAGCTGAGAATAGCGACGAGCTTAAGTCTCAGTCGGTGTAAGGAAAAGGGTATTTCACTTCTAAATGTGACATGAAGAAGTAAAATTTAACGGTACTCGTAGGTATGCTGTAAACAGTGTTTCCATGTGATGGGTTTTGATTTATTTCTTCTATGGTCATGAAATTTATTACTAGTTTTTCATGTGTAGCTCAGGTTGCACCATTTACTCTACTGGTGAGGTTAGTGTTCAACATTAGTCTTCGCCGCATTTCAGTGCGTGGCACCGAGGTCTGGGAGAGAACTGTGCCACTGGCACTGCTCCTGAAGGTCTTCCAGTTTTTTTCTCTCTCTATCACTGTGCAAAAGATGTATCTTACCGAATTTTGTATTTCCTGTTACAGTCCAATTACAATTACAACGTTAGACATCCAGACCCTCGTTAGTGTTCTTCAACGGCTGTCTGTCCGAGTTTCCAGTCCCTTCTCTCCGCATGTATCCACCATTGACCCAGAATCACAGCTCCCGGCAGGAATGTCCCCGCAGCCCTGCAGACGCGCACCCGATCTGTCGTCTGCTCGCGCCGCCTCACCCCTCGGGACGAGGTTGATTGTCAGTCCGTTTACTGCCGGTGCCGAGGCGGGACCAGTCCTCGGGGTTGGCAGCGGGCACGTCCCGGCCAGCATGACTGCACGGACACGGAGATTCCAGCTGGTCTCCCGTCCTGTAGTATCCTGTGAACTTCATTGAAACCCTCCACAAAATTCTGGGAAAAGCCAGGGTTTCTGGTCATATTGACAAAGGCAGTACCTTGAACAAAGTGAATTATCATCTGCCCCCTCTCTCATGTACACATACATATATGCATATATGTATATATGTATAGATATATGTGTAGTCGGTGCGGGATATACATTGTATAGTTAAGTGTACGGGTTGGATCCCGGTGTTCTCCACTAGACCCGCTATCGCCATGACAGGAGCTCGCCACTGCTGCCACCACCCGTTTATTTACCCGACGTTCCGGTCCTCAGGAGAGACCAAATCAAAAATACAGAGCCCCTGGGTACAGGGAGAAAATCACTGAACTTAATATAACTTAAAATAACAGAAAATATGTGCCCGAACAGATCATGCGACACTGAACAGCATATAACTATCCGATAAAAAGACGTATTAGACTGGGAAGGTACTACATGTAGTTAGTAGCGAGGAACGTGCACGGAACTTTTTTTACGTCGTAAGTCCGTGGTATGGTGCTCAGTGACTATTTCCTTCAGTTGTAAAAGCTATCCTGATGTGCACCTGGGCTAGGGCTGAACATATTCAGTAGATGAAATATTTTCAACAGTTTACCTGGCGTTTTGATGACTGGTGAGGAATAAGGAAAGTTTATTTTTTGCTGAATGTAGGATATTCTTATAATGTACAAAACTCACTCGGCCAAAACACAAAAGACCAGCTTCCAAACTGATTCCACGGTTTGTTATTAATATTTCCGCTCAAAAATATCGAAGAGAGCAAAGCGCCGATGAACTCTCGCTGACCTGCAGACATTCCACCTGCCCGGGTCCTGAGCGGGCCGCCATGACAGCTTCCCCGACTGATTTATGGCGCTTTGCTACCGTGCACCACTTCCGTCTGCTGACCCGACACGACCTCCTGTAATTCGACATAAGCACTCACTTGTTACACTCAATACAACGTGCCGACGATCGTAATTTTATTTCTTCTAGACAAGCGGAATACGTATTCAAACTTCAGCCAGTGTGTGGGGACCCTGTGTGTTTTTGTT